TATTTTAAAAAGTTTACATTAGGCTTAACATAGACAAAAATTCAACGCGAAGCGACATGCAATGTAGAAAAATTTCAACATGGGCTAGGTTAATATATTTTTTTGTACATAATCGATTAACCAAAAAATAAGTTATCCGAACAACCTCAGTCCCCAATTAATTCAGATAAATGACACTCTACTGTATTTTCTATTTAGTTTTTCTAAGTTTATTTAATAAACTATATGTTAATAAATGTTAATTATTATTTGATGTATAAAAGTAGAAATGAAGCAATATAATTAAAAATACTTTTTTTTGTTCAGGATGCACGTTTCTTGGACACACAAAGTTTAGGAGTTTACCTCTCCTAACTTTGTGTGTCCAACACAAAGTTAGGAGAGGTAATCTCCTAAACTTTGTNCCCCCTATAACACTGTTGATTATTCCGTTTTATATAAATTCCATGTTGTACGAGTCATTTAGATTTTACAAATATGTGTACTGGGCTGTGAACAGCTGACGTATTTGTAAAATCTAAGTGACTCGTACACCATGGAATTCATATAAAACGAAATTATCAATAGTATTATAGGGGGTCGACTGTATTTATATTTTTAATTTCATATTTACGTTCTTTTTTGTGTTCAATTTTATTCTATGATATGTTAACTAAAGATCGTTAAGAAATGATTGAAAACTTTTTTATTTTATTAATTTTTATTTGCTGGATTATTAAAGGTGTTTTATTCATGGAATACTGGACAGTATTAAATGAATATTAGTTAACTTGTCAATATCTAGTTGTAAAATCAATACAAATTGTGTCCGAAATATCAGTTTAACCTTAGATACTGTATTTAATCTAAGACCAGCAATTAAGCCTCCAGGAGAAACATTTACATGGACCTCAGGAATGATGGAAAGAAGTTGTGGAATGAATCCCAGGCCCAAGAAATTTTACCCCATCATCTCCACTCTCTCATCAGTCTTGACCATAAGACACTTGTTAAAAATTCCTGCATAAGATGTTCCTGCATGAGATGTTACAAAGTATCAATTCCATGAAGCAAATTTTACCTGCTTAAAACAATCACATCGGTGACCAATAGTGCTTTCCTCAGAAAATGCAAAAATCTTGTAATAAGACTACAGGATTTCAAACAGGGTGAATAAAATATGACCCCCATACACTAACATCCATATGTACAGAAAAAAAAACCTCAAATCTTTTCCATATCTCAACATTTCAAGGTGTCCAGAGTCCTTAAATGTAAAAATTTGGGCAAGTCACTTTTCTCCCTGTTATATATAAAGCCAGGAAAGTAAACAAAAGTTATCAAATACAAATTTATATATTGACTGTCATTACTTAGAGGAGTCTTTAACTTTGGAATAAAAAAGTTTCTACATTCTATCTTTATTAGAAATCTATTTATTGAAGCTTTTATTCTGAGGTCAAGTGATGACATCAGAATTACTGAGCCTATTTTAATAATAAGTCTGACCTTGGTCGGAGTTGAATGGTAAGGCAAAGTCGGAGTCAGTAGATTTTTAAACGACTCCACAGCCCTGCTTTTTGCACTGATGTGAGTGATGGACAAAAGTATTGGCACACAGCCACTTCTTAAATTTTCTTGTATAAATTTAAATTTAATAGTAAAAATCTTTTAGCTCTGTGAAATTTTCACATAATAATTAGATGTTATTCATCACATACTAACACTAAATAAAATTATTATTTATGTATTTTTGACTTTGAAAACTTAGAAAAGTAGAGGAGAGGAGGGTATTATGGAATACCATTTACATTTCTAAAAATAACTGGTTTTTGAATAAAAATCCCAAAATCATCATGAGTACATACTATAACTAATTGTAATGAACTGTCGCTTATAAAGAAACAAGTAAACTGGCAAAACCATATTTGGGACAAGACTATGTCTCGGTGACGGAATCACTTTGATGCTCAAGGCAGATCACGTTCTCATTCTCCTATCTTCTTTGATATCACTGCTTTTGGGCGCAATCGTTCAAACTTCACCAGCCACGATGCATCTTCAATGAAATTAACCTATCTAATTTCAAAATTTCTCTCCGTTGCATATCGGCCCGGGTTGAATTTTTGTTGATACGTAACAAAAAGTTCCTGTTTTTGAAAAAAATAATCGTGGCTATTGTATCATCCAAAATTATTTTTTTATTTTGCACAAACAATATACAGTTTAACCCGATTATAATGTCATTGAATGTAATGACAATCCTAATATAACGTCAAATTTTTATTGGTCCTACAATTTTACTATACTAGATAATGTTAAAAAAACCCACTTGTAACGACATAAAACTGTTTTAACGTCATATTTGAAGCACTCCCAAATTTACAAAATTAAATCACAAATTTTATTTAACATAGAAGAAACTACGTGTTCGATCCTAAGGTCAGAATTCACTTCTTAGAATGACTGTTGGTGGTACTCTCCCCTACTTGACTTCGGTGGGGTGAGGTGGCCGTTTTTGCCTGTTTGTAGAAGAGGGTCGCCATTTTGTATTTTATTTTGATTCGGTTCTCGGTCCTCCGACTACCTATGAGTCTAAATTTTTTATGCATAAATGATTTGGGCACTTAACACTCTGTGCCAAATATCAACTCTCAACATGTACTCCTTCATACCTCTATGCTGGTAAGAACATTGGGCAGTACGATTTTATAAACAAGACATAGTCTTGTCAAAAATACTATTTATTTTTGTTGTTATAAAAAAAATTTATTTAAAAAAGTCACAAATGGATGTTATTATGAAATAGTCAGGTAATATGGAATAGGCAGTTTAAACCATTGAAAAACTAATTAGACTTCATAAAACATAGTTATTTTTAACTATAAAAACCATATTTTTAAGATCATATGCATGTCATTCCTGCTTCAAGTCTATTTACAAAAGTCACAGATATAATTTTCTTTCTCTGCTTCGGTACAATCAAAGTGAGACCACAGAGAACAGCTGAAGCATTGAATCCAAATTTCCCCTCATTGATCTTCAAAGAATTTCCTATTATAGAAGATACATTCAGCATCTTCGTTTTCCAGTTCTTTAGTTGATGGCATGAAATCCATTACAGACGATACATCAGAATGGAGCGATTCATCACTGCTAACACTGGAGTCATCTCTAGTAGATTTAGGTGTAGAAGGTTGGTCTAAGTTTAATTTCTTAACAGGTGGTCTTTGAATGTTCAGTTTCTTTTGTTGTTTTGAAGCTTCTGGTTCTTTCTTTTTGACCTTTTCTTTCAGTTTATCCATTTATCATAGTATTCCATAATACCCAACACACCATCTTGGAAAAAGAACCTTTAAACTGATGGACAAAACATTGTAGCTAAAAAACAACCACAGTATAACAAACTACAATTCTTTTAGCATACATTATGCTTAACATCAATGTTCAAGTCATGTGTACTAGTAGGTTAAAATGTTTGAAAACTTACCTGCAAAAACTCTTGAAAATCACAAAATACACTTTGTTCTGTAGCATGTGGTATGACAACAAGTGGTCAACTCTCACTGCACTGCATCGTGGGAGTCTTTCTTGAGTAGTTCATGGTATTCCCACATAATAGCAGCAACAAAGACCCGAAACCTCAGTATTCCATATTTCCCGACTATTCCATAATACCTCCTCTCCTCTATATTTACATACATAATTTGAACGGACAAAAGTATCGACACAGTGATGATATTTAAGCAAATTACTTTTATCCATGCCGTTTTTTATGCCTAGTATGGTGGATATACGAAATCCAATGCTTTTTTATTGACCTTATCAGGTATGAAAACTATTGTTATTTCAATCTAGTTGTTATTACCAAAATAAATAGCAGAGGTACTGAGACAACAATAGAAGAAAGAAAAATCATCTCACATTTGTGTAATCTTAGGAAATCATATTCAGAAATTAAGAAAATAGTTAAAAAGAGGTTTACTGTAAGAAATGCAATTAAGCATTTTAAATCAACTCACAGCTTAATTAAAAGATAAACCAAGATGCAGTCACTCAGGGAAGCACTCACAGAGAAGAGAGAAATGTCTGTTCAGTCAAGAAAAAGCCAAAAATATCTTCAACTAAAGTTGCAACGATGCCAAAGGAAGATTTCAACAAGGTGGTTCATCCGAAAAACTGTCCATCGAATCCTTCATCATGCTGGTTACAGAGCGAGAGTAGTCAGAAGAAAGCCATATATAAGTAAAATGTATCAAAATAAGATTTTGAACTTAGATAATTTCAAAGACTTCTCTTTGAAAAATGGGAAAAAATTCCCTCTGAAATCACTCAAAAATTAGTGCACTCAATTATCTTCAACTGTGNGAAGATTTCAACAAGTTGAGTTTATCCGAAAACTGTCCTCCATCGTGCTGGTTAGAGCGAGAGTAACCAGAAGAAAGCCATATATAAGTAAAATGTATCAAAATAAGATTTTGAACTTAGATAATTTCAAAGACTTCTCTTTGAAAAATGGGAAAAAATTCCCTCTGAAATCACTCAAAAATTAGTGCACTCAATTATCTTCAACTGTGCCAATACGTTTGTCTGTGGTTTGATAAATAGGAAACTTCATTACGAATTTCGTACATGGAACGAGATGAACTTAAATTAAGACATAGTAAATTACAGTTGTCCCTTGATAATCCGACAGGTATGGGACCAAAGGTGTGTCAGATTACCAAAAGTGTCCGGATTACCGAAAATGATTACATATTTCGCATTGTTTTGCTAGCAGTAATTTACAATATTCTCTACTCCAACTGTACGAACAGAACTGCTCACATAAAACACACGAAATGTGTGTCATCGAGTAAGAATTGGATGGGGAGATTCACATCGCGACATGCTTCTGTGCAAGCAGACACTTAAAGGAGACGGGTACCTTGACGGGAGGTGCGTCGGACTACTGAGCATGTCGGATTAAAAAACGTCGGACTATAGAGGGACAACTGTATTTTTAATTTCTTCTGTTTTACCTTCGCATGTAAGTGAGGACCATATTTCAAATTTGTTATACAAACACGTGGTAAATATCTCAACAACTCCAACCCTTTCTCGATCGCCATTTTTGAAAGCGACCTCTGTTCTTTTTTTTTATAACATTATAAACTATGTTTTTAACTTATGAAGAAAAAAAATTTTACAATTATTATTATGCTTTTGTCCACTTTGGATATTTTTGTAAACTAGACTTGTTATATTGAGGGAAGAGAATCACATAATTTCAAACAAAAGCCTCTTTAATGTAACTTGGAGTAAGTAACATTAAAGAGGCTTTTGTTTGAAATTATGTGATTCTCTTCCCTCAGTGTAACAAGTCCTAGTTCACAAGAACATTCAAAGTGGACAAAAGCATAATATAAGTAATTATGGACAAGAAGCACTTATCAAAATTTTACAACTTTTTTTAGCAACAATTTTTAATGTTTTCATATTTGAGTTATGGAAATTTTAGTAATTTTCAATACTAAAGCAAAATTCTAAATCCTTTAAAAAATGAGTTGTCTTTTATTTGAATTCAAAATATAATGCAAATAATACAATAGTAAGAATTTAACCTATGATAATGTACAATAATTCCCATTAAGAATATCCCATTCAAAATAATTTTCTATGTAACATGTTGAAATTATTTAGTCCTGTAATTATTTTCACATTATACTATATCTATCTAGCATTCATGTGCATTTTCAATCTTATAATTATAGCAGATTTATTACTTGTATTTACAAAACTTTGCAATTTGACATAATAAAATTAATAAATCCTTTTCATATATTTTCTCAATTAGTAAATTTAAACTATCTAATTCCTTTGAAAAATGTTCTTGAACAAATTGTTATACAGCAGGCTATGCTAGAATGAATAAGCAGTTTTTTTAATCTAAAAAATCAAAATGTTACAATAAATGTGACTGACATAGCATGCACATGTGCATACCATGTCAAGATTTTCCCACTTTCATTAGAGTATTAGTCACTGTCTCTATTATAATTTGTAAAGTTGAAATATCTGTTTATTTGTATCTTTCTTTATCCATAAAAATATATTTTTTAATTCTCTGTGTTAAACCATGCCCTCCTTTATATTATATTTTGACACACTATGACGTTTTCATACTAGACTTTTTCACATCCACTTTATTTTCTTATGTACTTTACAGTCTTTAAACTAATTGTTCCAAGCGCCAATATGCATTTCGGGCTGGTTCCCCTCATCTGTTGGTTGATACACATTCTCCACAATGATTTTTATTGTATTGTTGCCATACATAAAACCAAAACACCACTGTGTACTGTAAACCAGTTAAAAATTCCTAAACTTCTGTATTTTTATCTAAATAACTAATTGCAGAGTTCCATTTTCTACATTGGATACAGTACCTACAATATTAGGGTAGATCATAAAATAAGTAGAGAAAAAAAAATTGCAGATTGATAAAATCAACTTTAACCCATTCTTGACGGCCAGTGTATAAATACACCGTTGTGTACACTGCAATTTTTAATGTTAATGTTTAATTAAACATTAAAAATACTTAAAACTGAAAAAAACGAAAGAAATGCATTAATTTTCAAGAAAAAGCTTCAAACTTTATTTTCCATTTAATAAAAATCAATTCTAATTATATTAAATATTGCAAAGAAGTTTGCTCTTATTTTTAACTTACTTTTACTCCTTAAAGGTGATAAATCATCATCTGAATAATTTGTTCTGTTTTGATTTGGACGAGGAAGGCTCTGGTCACTATCTGTATCAAATCTTTGTTTTCTTTGCAAATTTTCAGAATTTTGTTGAATTTCTGTAGGTCTTGGAGGAGATAAGTCACTGTCTGAATCTAATCGTTTACGTGGCACATTTTCTACATTAAAGTAAATAATAATAATGTAAATTTTCATTTTCATATATATTTCAAATAAAAATTTAAAAATTAAATTTACATTTTAATAAAACTTAAATTCAAACAACTTACTATGTGCTACTTCTGGTGATGAACTTTTTCTGGAATGTTTTTTGTGTTTCTTTTTATGTCTTTTCTGAGAACTTCTACTGATGTCTGAATCTGATCTTTCAGAGTGTTTCTTTTGTAATTTCTCTAAATGCTTTTTACTTGACTGATTTCTCGAAAGAGACAGATCACTGTCTGAATCTGATCTTTCAGACCGTTTCTTTCGTGATTTTTCTGAATGCTTTTTACTAGAACGATTTCTTGAAAGAGACACATCATGGTCTGAATCTGATTTTTCAGACTGTTTTCTTCGTGACTTCTCTAAATGCTTTTTACTTGACCGATTTCTTGAAAGAGACAGATCACTGTCTGAATCTGATTTTTCAGACTGTTTTCTTTGTAACTTCTCTAAATGCTTTTTACTTGACCGATTTCTTGAAAGAGACAGATCACTGTCTGAATCTGATTTTTNAAAAATTATGTTATTTTTTATTGTTTTGTAACTGTGCATAATAAGACCGATGTAACAAACTTATTAAATTTTTTTTTAATTTTTGCTCTTTTCGCCCAACGTATATTAAGAGGGCCTTTTTCTATATCCAACATGAGTTCGATCAAGTCTACGATGGCCAATGGAGCGACCGATGGTGAGAGATGGGATCCGACATATTCAGGACAGATTGCCGATGAAAAATTATTAAAATGCTGCTCTTCTAAATTCGATCTAGTATTCCTCAGAGCGTTAGGATGACGCCTTAAACGCCTCAATCATACAACCGTAATAAATTTTAATTGTTAAAAATTAAAACACTGTAGTACACAAATTATAAAACTTTCAGATAACATCATAAAATTGTTATATAATGTATTAAAATTTTAGTTATATAAATATGATAATATAATATTTTATATTATATTCTCAAGACAATGAGTTTCTTTTGTAAATTAATAAATAACGGAATCAAGGAGCAAGAAAGTAAGATACATCATTTTACATGATTATTTCTATCAAGATTTGTTTATTAATCTCGAAATTTGTTTTTCGATAATAAAGTAGCCCCTCGTTATATCTCGCTTGTCGGGATACAAAGAAAAGCGAGATATCCGTCGGCGCGATATAACCGAGTACTGTACTAAAAATTCTGGGCTTTTACTAAACAAATTATACATGCTATGGAATCTATCCTCGATTCTTTCATCAGCAAGTGTTTCTGATATAAAATAAGCTTAGTTTTGCAATACTGAAGTTTTTCGTGGTTATATCATATTAAATGACATAGTCCGCTAGCTCCACTGAGATATATACACATGTAAGCACACTCTTCCACTAATATAGCTTTTTTAAAAAATTCTTTTTGCCCTGTGGGCACTAAGAGGGCTTCTTTTAGCAAGCCCATTATGGGCTTGGCCAGACCCCCAATGGGGTGACCGAATGGTGAGAAACGGGACCCGACATATCAGGACGGACCTGCCCCCCGGCCATCTATAAGATGAGAGTAGAACATGCTATCTGCTATGCCTGTGGTATTTGGTGGAAAGATTCTGCCAACGTCAAACAGTGCAGAACGCTGCTAACGATTCAGAGACCCTCCACCCTGTGGGTAACGAAACCGTACAAAACTGTGTCTACGGAGGCGGCCCTAGTCTTGGCCGGGCTGCAGCCGTTGCCTCTGGGAGTTAGCCAAGAGGCAGCCTTCTACAGAACAATGGTGGAAGGTATAGAGGTTAAGCATTGTAATCAGTACCCGGTCAGACTTAGACGTCAGACAGATGTATTGAGTCCATCCTACCCATAGGTTAGGACTGGACTGGAATGTCAGTAAACCGACAGGCAGCGGTGTTAAGATATTATATACACCGATGGCTCTAAAGATGGTAACTTAGTAGGTGCTGCGTACTGCGTCTTTTTTGATGGAGTACAAGTGTACTGTCAGTCAGTCAGATTGAACGAGGAGGCGTCCGTGTTCCAGGTGGAACTAGTGGCCCTGGAGGGGCGACCCAGTGGATCCTACAACATCCGGGTCCAGAGCTGGTCACGGTTTACTCTGACAGGTACTATAGGGACGAGTTGGTACAGGAGATCAGAGGTAGGGTACTGAGGGCGAGGCACACACGCGTTGCCCTGAGGTTGGTCCGAGGCCACATCGGGATCCCGGGCAACGAGTGCGCCGACCAACTGGCCAAGGCGGGGCTCATTTGTAACGAGGATGGTCGAACCCTCGACTACATACATAAAAGGTACTCTACTGCAATGATTAATGACATACTGACAAGAGCACTGGACTCAAAGTACAGTAGGTAGATCAACCTATGCCTTCATGCCTGAAGTTGGTTGTACTCCAGTGTGTTGTGATTGGCTTACGACGCAAATACTGATCGGACACGGGAGGTTTCCCCACTTCAAGTCCAAGTTTGGACAAGGAGACGGTAGCTGCTCCTGATAGGTGCCCTCGCGGCGACGCGAGGCACTACGTACTTGACTGTCCGCTTACTGAGGATTTCTGCCGAGGAGCTAACCAAGTCGACTGTTCTAAGCCTTCTGAACAAGTACTCCGAACGCTAGCAGCTAGTAAAGGAAACTTAAAGAAATAAAGGAATTGATGGGAAAAGTAATAGGTCTCTTCGACCTATAAGCTCAGTGGACGCACTGGGCAGGGTCCCTTTTCTAGGGGAGGAGACCTCGCTGACCGTTACTAAGAGTTGGTCTCTCATTAGTAGAGAACTCAATGTGGAGTACAGACGGCATCAAAAACGTATGACCATGTAAGAAGGTTGGACTTGAGAGAGAGTAAGGCAAGGAAGGCGTTGAAGGTTGGTGGTCCCTATTGGGTTACACCAGAACCGGAGCCAAAGCCAGAATCAGAGCCCGAGCATTTTTCTCAGGTTCGACTTAAAAGAGTCCAGGATACCCAGTAGCTTCTGGGTATAAGACCAAGTCTATGATTAAGACATAGTCTCTTTGTACTCTGTAGTGCCACTTGGCGGAGCAGAAGCAAATTACTTTGTTATATGAGGACTCGCCCCAAAGAATTCCTTGGAATTCTGGGGGATCAGGGATCGAATCCGGACGGGTCAAATAATCTCCAGAAATTTTTCGGGAGTGGTCCATTCGGATATCTCGGGACCTGTCCCTCACCACCCGGCCGCCCCATTGTGGGCCTGGCCGAACCCATAATGGGCTTGCTAAAAGAAGCCCTCTTAGTGTCCACAGAATGGAAAGAGTTAACAAAGAAAAAAGTAACCGGTTGGGACATCTCTAGCGTGAGTGTACGATGTGATACGGAAGGGTATGGAGTCATACAGGTGCCGTATGGTGTCCTGCAGCATTTCAGTTTACAGTAGCTGCAAGAGATCCTCTAGTTCGGCTAAACTTCTAGGCTGTCCAACTTAGCGTCCCAGGTGATTTCAAACATGTTCAATTGGTGACAAATCGGGGAATCGGGCAAGCCAGGAAAATGTGGCATTGTGACAGAAAGTCTTGTGACACCTTTGCTGTGCGTGGTCGAGCATTGTCCTGTTGAAAAATGGCTCTTGGGAGTCTTCCATGAGATGCAAAACAACACAGCCCAGCAGATGTCACTAACATACCGCTGGGCTATCATGATCCCTTGGATCACTACTAGAGGTGACCGACTGTCGTATGTGATGGCACACCAGCTCTGGGGAGGTGTGTCGCTTCAAAGTGTAGGCAGGATTGAGGCGTTCACCGCGCAGCCTCCATACATGAACACGACCATTGTCAGTGCCCAAATTGAATTTGGATTCGTCGATGTAGACGACCCGGTTCTATTCCGCTATGATCCACACCACTCCAAACGGAGGTGACGGTGGGGTAGATGTCAATGGCAGCATACGTAATAGCCGCCGCAATACCAAATGTTTCTTACCCAGGCGTCTCGAAATAGTACGACAGACAGAGGCCGATAATGATGGCGGACAAAGATACGGTCGTCTCTATGCGGGCTAGTGGTCTGCCGAGGGCCTCCTAAACCTGGGCGCCATGTGTGCGAGCTCTCTCTCGTCCACTAATCCCAACACTTCCATACAGTGTTGTCAGAATGGCTTAGGTGACAGGCTATTCGGCAAGATGGCCATCTGACTTCTTTCAACCCGATGATCCTTCCCTTCTCAAACTCGGTTAGTTGTTCATATGGTCTTCGATTGCGATGTGAAGGATCTCTAGTGATACAGAGTCCCTCTGCACCATTACATTATATTATATTACATTAAAAGAGTAAAGAGGTTGTCTGTATGTGCACAGACTTTACCTCTAAGAAATTAGAAGTGATGAAATTGAAATTAGAAGAGGAAGTGATAGTAAGTAGGGAGGGAAAGAAAATAGGGAAAGATTGAAGGGAAGTGTCGGATCATTGAGCGTCTGCATCATAATTATTGAACAAGTAAAAATACAGTTAAAAGATAAAATATGTACAGTGAAACAGTATAAAAACAAACATGACATGTTTGGGCGTGTGGGCGAGTATGCAACAGGTAAACCACAGACAGGATCAGGGCCGTGCGGTAGATTTTCTAAGTGTTATGCAAGTCTTCGAAATGCCGCCCCTTATATGTTTTTTTGACGCCCCTTATATAAATTATTAGTCTTATATAGGCTATAATTGTTATTATTCGGTGTATCTTACCAGGGCCGTGCGGTAGATTTTCTAAGTATGATGCAAGTCTTTGAAATTCTACCCCTTAAATGTTTTTTATGCTGCCCCCTCACAGTGCCGTCTGATGCGGCCGCATCTCTGCATCATAGCACGGCACGGCCGTGGACAGGATGCCTTTGCACGCTTTTTATAGGCCAAGGAAAACACACTTTAATGACTTCTACTGGCATTACGCAATGAGCCATCACGCTATAGCTCTAATCATGACCGTATCTAGTTGAGACTTATCTGCATGCCAAGTTTTGCAATGATTCGACAACAACCTTTTGGTGCGCTAATTTTTATGGTAATGAGTGTATATGTATGAACCTATGTATTGCACAGTAGATTACGTGTTAAATAATACACAGGATCTTAAAAGCTCATCATTTATCCAACGCATTTCGCTAAAGGAATTCTTTCAGTCTGCAAGCTGCTTTCCGTTAGCTGAGCGTGTAAAAGATTCGTACGTGCTGAAATGTAAATATGAATTGCTGTAGTGATGGGAATTGAATGCGCTCTGTGAGAGAAGAGACCTGTATACGTAATAATATTATCAATAACATGTAATATTCTATAACAAAAGTCGTACTGAAACACAATTTAAAAATCGATCTTAGATGTCCATTTTTAAAGTACAAGTAGTCAAAATTTGAGGGTCTTGACTAGTCAAAATCTAGTTTTCATTACAGTTTTAAACTATTGTTCAATACCCTGTTCAATGTTTATTTTAACATTAATTACTAAAAATATATTTCTATATTAATCTGTATTTAATATTATCTGTATACATTATATTATGTACAAATTATTACATTACTTATATAATGTTTTAATAATTTCGTATAGTATTACTTCA